CCGTGTGGAGGCTCTCAGCATGTAACAGAGAGAGAGAGAGAGAGAGAGAGAGAGAGAGAGAGAGAGAGAGAGAGAGAGAGAGAGAGAGAGAGAGATGCACTGATCAACGTCACAATCTGGAGGGCCTGGGAGAACTGATCGCCGGCAGCTGATTTCAACTGTGGGTAATGTATGCATCAGTTCTTAAGTCGGTGGCTAATAAGAGGGAAACAGTCAGTCCTTGGTTGGGTTGAACTGCAGAATCCAGCTGTCAACGTCCACAGCCATGTATTGAGCTGCCCACTGGGATGATATCACACAAGAAAGAGAGAAGAAAGAAAGTTGAAAAGAGAAGAAGGAAAGTGAACAAGAACACACCAACTGATGTGATTGAATGGCATGTAACTTCTACGAAAGTGAGCTTGAATCCTGATGAAGCCCATTTGGATGGATTTCAAATTTTCAATAATGTTAGGGTCCTCCATAATTAGAAGGAAGGAAAGTGCTGCCGTCTCGGGATCTTTCGACAATGATGGGGAGACAGCTTGAAAGGGTATAAGCGAGGCTCACCTGGTTTCCACTTCTTAGTGATACAAAGCTGCGTTTTGTCAAAAAGAGATAAAAATCGGAAGGACGACTGACGAAAGGATGTGCAAAAGGGAAGAGGAAGGGAAGAATAAGAAAGTAATAGACAAAGGAAGTGCAGAAGGCGAGTGCTGTGGTATCTGTACATGTATGTATGTATTCCTGGGAAAGGAGGGTTCAGCAGGTCTGAGAAAGGTTTCTTTTTCTAAGAGGGGTTGGCTTGTTGTGTCTGGCCTGCAGGTGTATGATGAAAACAACATTGTTGAAGATATGGTGACCTGTTGCACATGTCTGCACAAGGTGCATGTTGATTGCGAGAACATCTCGCGCGAAATTTTTGTGGAGCTCAGGTCGAACCCATCGCTGTCGTATAGTGTAAGTGGCATTCGAACGTGTTGTCCTTTCGGTCATTTATCTGCTGAGGACATTGCCCGTGTGTCTTGTTCTTTGATGAGCTGTGGCAGTACAGTATGGCATATGGTATACTGCGCCTCGCAGTTGGGGATGGGTGCAGTTGGTGGCTGTGTGCTGTACCTGATATGCCGTTCAGTGTAAGTGGCATTTGAACACGTTGTCCAGCCGTTCATCTGCCGAGGACATTGGCCATGCATCCTATTTTTAATGAGCTGTGGGAGTACGGTATGACATATAGTATAGTGTGTATTGCAGTAGGGGGCTGTGTGTTGTATGTGGTTTGCCCATGTGTTTTATGGCAGAATGGAAAACATGAAAAATAAAAAACCTGGAAAAAATATATGTTGTGTAAAATTGGGTCTCACAAGGGTCACCCCCAAAGGTCTCCTTAATAACGAGTTCAAACTTGAAATGTTTTGCAAATAAGAAATAGAAAGATAAGTAAAGATACACCCCTGTAAATCCCATTTACACCCCTCCACACCCCGTGGGTGATCCGTTATCTTTGTTTTTTTTGTTGTTGAAAAACTGCTCCTTATGGTCCTGTGCTTGCAAATGGTCGCAAAGGAGTGCAGAAGGTCAGCACGGGACCTCCCGCTGGGATCGTGCCATAGCACACAGCACCACTTTTCTGGAAGGGTATTCAGGAGGTGGATATTTTCCATCCTGTGGCGTTCTCCCCCCCTTGTTTTTTGACAGCTTATCTGTGAGGATTCAGTTCAGCAAAGGCGTTCCAGAGCTGAGATCTCAAAATGTCTTTTGGGCCCAGCGAAACAGCTGCTTGGGGGTCACTGCTGGGCCTAGCTGTCAAATGTCTGGAGCTGCACTGGTCATGTGTTAGGGATGACTCACACAGAAGTTGTCTCTGGTAAGTCTCTACATGTCTCGTTACAGGCCCTCCCATGAATGCGTGCACTGTGTTTAGTGTGTGTACTGTCTTTAGTTCG